CCCTTCACTCCTATGCATTTCAGAATTATATAATCAATTAGGACTCAATATTTAGATTACACTTATTTTTAGTGATCAAATTATGATAGTTTGATGGCCGAATTAGTAAAGGTGACCTTGCTCAAGGTATTCTTGAGACTCTGGTAGGAGTTCCCAGGCTTGCCTCCATCAATCTGTAAACAATGACCACAATAAAATGTTTGTTAATTGCTGTCACCACTGGAAACGTGCCTTGTTTTGTCTTCTCCCTCACCAGTTCCAGCCCCACTTATATTGCATGCCTGAGAATAGACTAGATGAAGTTGCATCATTTCCATTGCCCGTAATGGTATTTCTAGTATCTGTATCATAGATGTCAACTTTTATGTTCTTAAAGCTTTTGTTCTTAAGGAAACAGAGCATTGCTTCATTCCATGGGCGGGGTGGGCTACAGGGAATCCCTGTCGATACTGGGTCCCTGGGCCTTACAACATCTCAGTCTGTGTCCAAAGCCTCACAAAGTCCATTGATTCTTGATCTTCACATCTCTAACTACAAATGCTTTGCCTCAATCACACCCAAGGCACTAGAAGGGAACAGGCACCTTGTATTCATTTTTTTTCTTTATTTTCTTTGATCCTTATTTCTGAAACTCAAATTCCTTCTCTCTCTGTCCCCTACATTACCAAAAATAAGATTCCAGGTATATGAATGACATAAACAATTGTGGGAGGGGAATTGGGAGGTGGTGATGGTATCTTATAAACAGAGGAAAATTCCAAACTCAGCCAGCCAAAAATGCTCTGCCACACATGGAATTCTAGTAACAGGACTTTAAATTGAACAAAGCTATCTATGAAGGGTGGAAGATTAGGAGTATACGGGGCCAAAGGATATTTAATTTAAAATCACTTGCAGTCTTTTTGATAACAGCCAGTCTAACTGGGTTGAGATGATATCTTAATGTGGTTTTGATTTGCATTTCCCTGATGCTTAGTGAGGTTGAGGATTTTTTTCATATGTCATTTGTATATCTTCCTTTGAAAATGTCTATTCAGCTCCTTTGCCCATTTTTTAATTAGGTTACTTGTTTTCTCACTGTTAAGTTGTTTGAGTTTCCTGTATATTTTGGATATTAATCCCTTGTCAGATGCATACTTTGCAAATATTTTCTCTCATTCTGTAGGTCATCTTTTCACTTTGTTGATTGTTTCCTTTGCTGTGCAGAAGCTTTTTAGTTTGATATAATACTGTTTGTTTATTTTTTTCTTTTGTTGCCTGTGCCTTTGAGGTCTTATTCATAAAGTCTTTGCCCAGTCCTATATCCTACAGCATTTCCCTATGTTTTCTTCTACACAATGGAATATTACTCGGCCATAAAAAGAATGAAATTCTGCCATTCATAGCAACATGGATGAGCTTGGAGAAAATTATGTTTGAAATAAGCTAGGCACAGAAAGAAAAACCACATGTGCTCACTCATAAGTGGGACTTAAAAAGAAAGAAAGAAAAGAAAGAAGGAACAATCATAATAATACACTGAACCTTCAAATGGAGAGAACAGAACTGTGGTTACTAGAGGTGGGAAAGGGGGAGTAGGAGAGGGTTAGTGAGAACTTGGTTAAGGGTTACAAACAATGATTATATTTTGTAATGATGAATATACTAATTATCCTGATTTGATCATCACATATAGTACACAGGTATTGATATTCAACTCTGTTCCCACAAATATGTAGAATCAATTATGATTCAAATAAAAAATAAAATCAATTGATTTTTGTGGTAAAATAAAACATACCTAGATTTTCAAAGAAAGCTGGCTGGGTAGCTCAGTTGGTTAGAGCATGGTGCTGATAACACCAAGGACTGGGATTCAAGATCTGTACCAGGCAGAAAAATAACAAGAAGAAGAAAATCATGAATCTTCAAAGACATTGTGTTTATTCTGGAAGACAGAAATTTTAAAATACATATAAATTTCTTAGGAAATATTTTATCTCTTACTAGCATTTTATCTGGGTATAAAAACCAAGGCTGAAAATTTATAGCTTCACTAAGGGGGATGATTAATATATAGCTCATGTGTTAATTGTGTTGCAGGTGGTGGGTAACGTTAAGTAAGTAGTTAGAAAACTTGAATTGGTGGGCCGGCCTCATGGCACACTGCTACAGTGCGCCGCTTGGGAGCATGGTGGCGCTCCCGCCGAGGGTTCGGATCCCACATACAGACCGGCCGCTCACTGGCTGAGTGAGGTGCAGGCTCAACACTGAGGTTTGCGATCCGTTGCCGGTCACGAAAAAAGACAAAAAGGAAAAAAAAAAAAGAAAAGAAAACTTGAATTGGTTCTATGAAATTCTCTCCTGATTTAAAAAGACAACATCGGGTCTGTATGAATAAAAGCAGAGCACTGTGGGGTTATTTACTCTCTTAGAATTGACTGGAATGCAGGGAGTACACAATGAGTGGAAATGGAGTACTAAGAGAATGAGTTGCCAGGTCTAAGGAAACAATTTAATACCTCCTTTTGATTAAATTCTAAGCAGGCATTTAAAGACTTCTATTCAAGAAGAAAGGGCTAAATGAAAAGGCTCTAGGAATTAGTGGCCACGAAGCTTCCTCAATTTGTATATGGGACTCCCTATATATACATATATTTTGGTTGCTGGCAGATAAGGGGATGCGAACCCTAGACCTTAGTGTTATCATCCATATACTTTATACTCTATAAAGAGAGCTTAAGGAAAGTTTAAAAATGCTCTCCACTTATATATGGAAAAGGAGATGAGATTTTAATTAGAAAATTGTAAGGAATTTTAAGGAACAGAGAGGTCACCTGTTTGAAAATTGTGTTAGCATTTTCTTACATCTTGTGATGCCTTGTGTTAAGTTCATTCAAATAAACAACCTGTGATTGCTTTTGTTTACCTATTTGAATTCCAAAAGTCCTGATTTAAAAGAAGATATAAAGTTTATGATAAATTATTCAAAAATATGCTTTTG